AAACCCAGAAATTTGCCTCACATGCCTAATAAATTTCTCCTGTTAAATTGGGGCTCTGATCTATAAGACCAGGATTACAAGTATGCAGTTCTTGCATTATTTGTATGTTATGTGGGCCAAGCTGACCACCGTACTAAAACAGATTTAATAATATACTTCAAATACCTGTAGTTAGATACCTGGGTTAAAAACACAAACTTGTGGCTTGTATCAGAATCCTATCTGCACTGGAATGCAGGGGTGCAATGCTTCCCCCTTTGGCTGACATTTTAAATAAGGTGTGTTACAATGCTTGCTCCTCCCCAGTTTAAAAATAATGCCTCTTTGCTTGTCTGCATTTATATATGCAGTTTGTTTGCATCTTCCTCTGTTAGATCATGTGTACACCCGGGATTCCGTCCTGGCAGATTAGCCAGTTGTGTGGAATGGGACTCATTTTTTTGAAAAGTGAAACCAGCTCTTTCAGTTGATTGATAGGATAGTTTTATGGACTGCATCCTAGGTTTACCTTGGGTTATTTACCTTCAAAAAACCAAACATCTATTTGGTAGTTTTGTTTTGTCAAATTGGCAAACTATTCATTTGCAAATCCTGTTTTGTGTGTTTAGTTCAATTCGATTTCTTTTTCTCGCGTAGTTATAGTCGATACCTGAAAAGTTCATCCAAAGCAAGGCTTTATTGGATCCCTGGTTATTTTTGCCTGCTATTTCCTGATAGGATCCACTCATCTTTTAAATCTTGTCTCTGTTGAATGCACATTATTCCTGATATATTCTTGCAAACTAAATAAATAGTTCAGCTACTGTGCTGCTGTTCTTCTAATAGTTAACTTTCTCAGCTTTTGAAAACACCTCTTCATAATAATCACAGAATTTCAGCAAAAGCCTAACCAAAAGAGATGCTTCTTTATATGCTTGTAATCCAGAGAAAGTAATCAATGTGAATTTCCATGGATTTCAGCAGAATTTAAGGTGTGTCTAAATTTCTCTAGATGGCGATCTATGTCTTAAAGACTTAAATGCAGCTGATAAAGCAATCTGAAATATAATTTACTTTCTTTTGTAATATCAAACCAGAATAACTAAGGCTGCACTCCTATGCACCTGGGGGAGCACTCCTATGCACCTGTTGAACTCAGTGGGGCTTACTTCTAAGTAGATATATATAGTATTGCACTGTAAGTGTAGAAGATACTGAGTTGTTTAAGGATATTGGTATTTAATGTGAATTTGTGTGTTAATACAACACCACAAGCTTGCTTACCCCTCAAAATACCTCTTATTCCACCATTCACACCTGTTTTAAATATAACTGTTCCAATGTGATTGCTGATGCACATACCTTTTGCTTGGAAAATATGAGCAATACCTATGAAGGCTGCAGGTCATGAACACGATTACCTTAATTTCAGTAGGCTCTCCTCGTACTTTAGATTAAACATCTGTAAAAGCTCCCCCCCCCTAACTGCACCTTTAATTTATCACTTTATTTTACCACGGAAATTGTAACGTTTTGGTCTGAGTCACACGTTAAACCATAGTTTAAAAGTACGTATGGTTTAATGAGACTGAACAGTTTAACCAAACCATGAACAGAAGCCACTATTTGTTATTGGCTGACTCCTTATGGTTTGCTGGGGGAGGTGGGGTTAGGGGAACTAGGAGCACTGGTTAACATCTAACACCAAGCCAGCCTTTATAGCGTCTTTTCCCCAGTTGCATCAGAGATAGGATTGGAGGCGGAGCGAAGTATGCACTAATCAGCACCATGCACCAGCACACTGCTCATTCATATTAAACCATAGTTAATTGTTAACTATGGTTTAGTGTTACATGCATACTGGAATACCAACTTACAGATATTCCAAATTATGTCTTGAATCTTGGATATGCCTTTGCCTTACAGCAGGCATGGGAAACCTCAGGCTCACGGCCCTAATTAGTCCCACCAGGCCTCCTCATATGGCCTAGGAGATAGTTCTGGCCAAGCCATGCCCTACACCTGATGTCATATATGGCATCAAGCATGGGACAGGTAACAAAACTGGCTCAGCCAAAAATAGGTTTGTGGGCACCCCTAGTCAGCTGATTGTCCGGTCTTGCAAAGTGCTGTTTTGTGAAATGTTTTCCAAAGTGCTCTGTCAAATGTCTGCGGGCAAAAAATGTCACCTGAGATCATTGGGAGGTGATTGACAAATGGCCAATTTCACCTACCTGTCAAACCTGGTATGTGAGGGCCAGAGGAGAGAACAGCCTGGCCCACTAGACAGTTCCAGTTCTCCTCCTGCCTTACAGGGTCACCTGTTTCTACATGAATCTGGCTTTTTTGAGGGCACCATTAGCTAGTGCCCCCACCTTCAGGGATTAGGTGAGTGGCAAATGGAAGTGGGGCTTTTTCTGTGATGGTCCCTGTATTTGGAATGCATTCTCCAGGGAGTTTAAATGGCCACCTTCTGTTTCACTAAGTTCCCATTTGAAAAAGTTGTGTTTCATGTTTGAATAAACTTGTTCTGTTGTCTTGTTGGGCATCTGACTGAACAACAGCTGTCTGTGGACAGCAGGTTGTTGTGCCATTGTGGATTATGCTCATGTTCTTTGTATTAGATTTTAATGTTGTGTTGATATTTTCTTTTGTCTTTCTGAGAGCTACCTACAACATACATATGGAAAGGTGGAATAAATGTATTTTTAAATGAATGAATTTATATGTCTCAATTTATTTATAACACTTAAAACCTTTGCTGAGTTTCCTTTCTTTAATGAAGTGGTCATGTTAAAAAGGGGGGTAGTGTTGGAATCATATTTGCATGTTTATAGGAGCAAAAATCTGTTGGGTACTTGGTACAACGCTGGTGTGTGTGTTTGCAGTGAAATATTTGTGAATGCACCCAAAGTTAAGGACAAATTTTATAGTTTAGCCCATAGTACAGGCAGCTGTTATCCTTAACAGAACTTGGGCTTCATTTTTACACGGCCTTGGTATTCATTGAATATTGTCTGTCAGAATTAGATGTGATGGCAATTTTTTTTCTGTGTTCACTACCGTATTTTTCACCCTATAGGGTGCACCGGCCCATAGGGCGCACCTAGTTTTCAGGGGGGGAAATCAAGGGAAAAAATATGACCCCCCCCCCGCAGCTCTGGGAGCAGCGGACAGGCTGCACGCAACCTGTGCGCTACTCCAAGACCTTCTCCCTGCTTTTGCGGGAGGTGGCGGAATTCCCCCACCTCCCGCAAAAGCCCACAAGAGCCACGTGCGACTCCTGCGGGCTTTTCAACCAGGAGGGAGAAGGGACTGAAACAGCCAGTCAGTCCCTTGTCCCTCCTCGGGGAAAAGCCCCCACGAGCGGCCCGCTCTTTAAAGGCTGCGCAGCTCCTGCGGGCTTTTCTACGAGGAGTGGGAATTCCCCCCCCTCGTAGAAAAGCCAGCAGAAGCCGCGCAGCCGCTTTAAAGAGCGTGCGGCTTTTGCCTGCTTTTGTGGGAGGTGGGGGAATCCCCCCCCATAGAAAAACCCGCAGGAGCCATGCGCTCTTTAAAGGGTGTGCGGCTCCTGCAGGCTTTTCGACCAACCTTGTAGGGCTCAAAGCGGGGTCGGAGACTAGCGCGAAGGCGTCATGCGCCTTCCCGCTGCCCCCCCGATCCTCTGGGGCTGGCAATGGGTGGAAGCGCTGCTTTCCCCCACCGCCAGCCTCAAAGAGCAGACTCTCCTGGCTTCAGCGAAAGCAACGTGAAACCTCCAGAGCGCAGGCTTCGGAGGCTTCGCGTTGCTATCGCTGAAGCCAAGGAGCCTGCATTCGCCCCATAGGACGCACACACATTTCCCCTTCATTTTTGGAGGGGGGAAAGTGTGTCCTATAGGGCGAAAAATACGGTACCTAATTTGATACAGGTTAGTGGCAAAGCTACTGCAGTTCATCCAGGAGGTTCCCAGGTTGAATTCCTGGCATCTCCAGTTAATAGGATCACATGACGTCTGCCTGAGATCCTGGAGAGCTGCTGCCAGTCAGAGTAAGGAATGCTAGGCTCGATGAATATTTTGACTTGCTGTAAAGTAGCTCCCCGTATTCAAAGTGTGTGGGTAAGGGAGAGAAATAACTGGCTTAAAGAAGTTGGAGTATAATTCTCACGATCCAGTTTGCATTGGGGGGGGGGGAGAGAACTAACAGATTACATTTCCCCCAAATGTTTTTCCTTGCTTGCTTTGAAATATTTTTACTTGCTTGCTTTGAATTGATATAGTGCTATCCCAAGTGCTGAAAGCATTTTGCACATATTCTCTTCAATCCTGAAAATTAGTGATAGCGGTTTCTCTTATTCTACCCAGAGAGCTCATTGCTGGCTCAGATCTCACCTCAGCCACTTTCTGGCTCTCGACTCATTCTCTTTACCACTATGCTACTCTGGGGTCTCGTGTAATTTCATGCATCGTTATTTTAAAGTACATGCAATTTTGTATGCTATTTGATCAGAAAGTACTGATCTGTATAGCAATAGAAAAATCAGGGACTGAGTAAGGTAGTGAACGAAAATCAACACGCTGTCTAAAGATTAAAATCAAACTGTTTTACGTGCAAAAATTCACATACAGAGGAACAAAAATGAAATGATTTCTGCAGGCAGTGGTTAAAAAACACAATTATTTACTGTTTTGTAATGTTAAAATATTTCACCCAAAAAGTTGCAGTCAAGAAATAATGTCAGTTATTGAAAACGCCAATACACAAAGATGCATTTATACAGGTGCAAGTCTTAAGTGTCTTACAAAAAGTTATTTAAATGAACAGGTAATACAGTAAGTGCACACTTTATATATGTTTAAAGAGACGGATCTTCATGTTAGTTCTGTATGCTGTTGTTGGACCACATGCAAGGAATTCTCACAAAGTTCTAATTAAAATAGTCCCAAATCTTTCTTGCCACGATGTAGAGTATAAGTTTGTACTGGTGGTAAGTAAGTAAGTCAACACAGCGAGGGAGGGTCAGTTATACACATTACTTACTGTAATTTGTGATTGCCGTGAGAGAGGAGTGGCTGTTGGTGTAATAGTGATGCTGCTGGTGATTTTGTTGATAGCTTTAGTTGGCGTTCCATTAGCTAACGCTGGACTTCTGCTATCCTGCGCTGTGGTGCAAGGGCTAATGTTTTTTGCTGAATTAGGAATAGCTTGAACATAAGGGCTTCCTAAGTGAATATGTATTTTATTATCTTCAGTAGTTATCACACTAGAACCAGAACTGTTAGATCTTTGAAACTGCCAGGACGACTGCCTTTCAGGGGAAACTCTAAAGACAGCATGCTTGTCACCAGTTTCCAGAGGCTCTGGTGAAAGTACCTGCTCCGGGGAACTTGAAGAACTTGTAAGAGCCAGAGGGGACGTTGTCCTGTCAGGAGTTACTGAGCCACATGATTCAGGTGTTTGAGATCTAGCAAAGGCAGACACAGTAAGTGGTGGCACGGCTTGCTCTGGACTTGTATAACCATCAGCTACTTTAGATTTTATAGGCGTCAAAGACCCATTTTTAATTATGGTTATTCTTTGCTTTGGTGTGCCACAGTTGGGTATCACAGCTGTGCTTGTAAAAGAGTGGGAACTCTCTGTAGTAGGGCTTGTTATTTCAAGGGTAGCTGTGTTTTGTCCATGGTCAGGAGTAACTTTTATATGAAGAGGCTGGCCTGGTGTATGGCTTAGAACCAAATTTCCAGGCTGAATGCAGTTTCCATTCTGCTTGGTGAGAACTTTTCCATTTTGGATGTGGCTTTCTTTGGACTTCATCCACGGTATCCAAAGTTTACTATTGTTTACTGCATTTGCAACAGCGGCATTGTACTTGAAGGATATTGTTTGCTCATCATCATTGTTGTCGTCGTCTTCTTCATTGTCACTCTCTTCATATAAATGTCCATTTATGACAGCCCGTTCCAAAGGAACTAGACTCTTGTAATCAGGTGGTTCATTGTCTGCTGGTTCTGTTTGAACTTCCTTAGAGAGAACTTGCAAGTCAGAAATTCTCCTTCCATTGAGACTTGGTCTGAGGCTCTTACTGAAACGCCGATACCTCTCTAGTTCTTTAGTAAGGATTTCCATTTCTCTTCCCAATTCTTTGTTTTTGTTTTCTTGGTGAGTGAGTTTCTTCTGCAGGATTGTATGGTCTTCCCTTAGATGACATATTAAATCTTCTGTTGCCATGTACTCATGAATTTTCTCCTTCAGTGCATCTACTTCCCTTGAAAGGTGTCCTGATTTGGCTGCTTCTTCCTTGAGTTTCCTGAATAATCTCTGTTCGTGGTTGCATTCCGTCTTCTCTGCTAACTTATACCGAGCCAATTCTCTTTTCACAACATCAAGTTCCTCTGATAGGAATCTGGCTTTGTCTTGTTCATTGATATATCTACGTTCTAAAGATTCAAATTCGTCCTCTGTTTTCATGAGATCATCTTCTATGGCTTTCATTTCTTTAAGTTTGTGCTTGAGCCTCTCAATTTCCTGGGCTAGTTCTTTAATCTTGTTGTTTTCTTGCTGCAAAGATGGGCTAGGCTTGGTAGTTTCCTTAAGTTTATTTTTAAGAAACTCCTTTTCAATGGCTTCTAAGGACTGAAGCTTTTTCCTTAGCAGGTTCATTTTGGAGGAGAGATCACTTCCTTTCTCTTCCTCTGCTTTTAGTTTGTTTTTCAACTCATCCCTGTCTCTTGTGAGATGGGACATTTTTTCCTCTGCATCAGTTTTGGATTTTAATGCCTTCTTGCTTTCTTCAATCAGTTTTTCGGTGACTGACATAACTTTTTTTTGTTCCAGCTGAAGTTGTGTATTTGCAGTTTGTAGTTTTTCTTCTGTTTGTTTTATTTTCTCATTCATTGTTTTCCTCTCGTCTACAAGCATGACCGTTAATGATTTCAGTTTTGTCAAATCTTCCTTAAGTGTGAGCTCTGTTTTTTCCAATTTGCTTTCAATTATTTCAAGCTCTCCTATACGGGCTTTTAAGCCATCCAGTTCCTGCGACAGCTGCTTTGTTAACATTTTTTCTTTTTCAAGGTTGCATTTCAAAGAGTAACATTCCTGCTTGCTCTTGCTGAAAGCATCCTCCAGTTTCTCAAGCTCCATTATTCTCTTGTTGAGTTTATCAACTTCTGCTTTGAAGTTCTTACTCTGGGATGCTTCTTTTTCTAGCTTCTTGTGAAGCTCCCTGCACTGTTCTTCCATTTTTATGAGTTCTTCGTCCTTCCCTTCCATCTCCAGAACTCTTTTCCTTAGTTCTTCCACTTCAGACATAAGGGTAGAGTTTCCGCATTCCCCTCGGTTCATTTTCTCTCTCAGGTCCTGCAGTTCTTCTTCCGCCTTCCGCAATGACTTATTAGTCTCCTCAAGTTCATCAATTTGCCGACTGAGGGCTGTTAATTTTAAGCGGAGGTGGCGGTTCTGGCTCTCTTCATTGGTTAGTTTGGCCATGGCGACCTCCTGATCTTGGCAGGCCTTACAGGACTGAGCCTGAAGTTCTGCTTCCAGCCGGAGAGCTTTCTGTTCCTCTTCTTGAGCTTTTGTTTCTGCAGTGGAGAGTTTCTCATGAGCTTGTTCCGCAGTGATGGTCAAGTCTTGGATCTTTTGGCTTTGCTGGCTTAGCTGTTCTGTGAGTCTTTGCTGTTCATCCACGACCATTAACGCAAATGTTTTGAGTTTTGTCAGTTCCTCCTTCAGTTTGTTTATTTTCTTGCTGTTTTCCTTTTCTTTTTTTGCCTGATAGGCTGTGTCTTGGTCAATAAGCTTTTTCAATCTGAAAGGCAAAAAAAAAAAAAAAAAAATCAAAATTAATTTTGTGATAGTGTTTCCGATACGTACTTAAGAAATGAAGTGCTGTTTTAGAAAATATGAAATCCTTTCTTTTAGAAAACATTTGAACAGATAAAATAATATTTCTTAAACAGATATTATACATTTCCCACAGTTGTAATTTTAACTTGTTCAAAGGTATCCACTTCCATACCTCCTTCTCCTTTTCCTTTGGTGTGGATGCTAATGTGGACTATATATTGCCCTAGGCTAGGAAGGAGGTAGAAGGTAGATTGCACCTTGTAATTTCATGTTATCTTCTGCCTTGTAATTACCATTTTATGGGCGTATTTGTGGTTCTGGCACACTAGATCTAAAACTCACTGCCATGCATCTTTTCATGTTAGCAAAAGGCCAATATCTTGCCCTGTATATAGATATTTCATGACCCAATATACTTTTTAATAGCATGTTACCTGCCTGTGTCATATTTTAAAAGTGCTATTATGGCTATGCAAAGCTACATTAAAAATACACAAATGTTAATTGCACGCAACTCTACTTTTTGGAGAGCTTTAGTATTTTCGTGTTGGAAGCTTTATCTTGATTTTCTTTTTTTCCGTAGCAGTAAATAAAAAATTTGATCCCCCACTCCCATTAATTGCCTAAGGCAATATGTTCAGATCCAGAAAACGCCCCTTAAGGTGGTAATAACTATAATTAGCTTAGTAATAGACAATTTTATGTGGGGCAGAACATTTTTCAGTGCTTTCTGTTTTTGCGGAGAATATTCCATTTCATAAGTTCATTAGTGAAAATGAATGGTTACCAATTAAAAATACATTATTAGGCAAGCTTGGCTGTTTCAAAGTTCTTAGCTCTGCTTACTAAACATTCTAAATTAGATACCCTTTAGAACATCGGAATAATAGAATTGTAGCATTGGAAGGGACCACAAGGCTTATCTAGTCCAACTAGACCCACAACCCTGAGATTAAGAGTCTCATGTTCTACCAATGGAGTCATTGGCTTTCCAATGCAATTCATCCTATTTGCATAGAAATTTTCCAATTAAAAATTATGTCCAGCACTGCAAAATCCACTCACTCCTCTGTAACATGGGGGTCACTGTTGTCATGGCCTGGGGCTGGGTTTTTCATTAAACACAACTGTTGTAACCTACAATCTCTTCATGTAGAATTCAGTAAACAAAGCAGCAGTGGCTGCAGTTAGAGACATTGTTTAGTTGAAGGCATAACCTTCAGTGCTTTTGTTTATTTTGCTGTGGACTCTTAGTTCTTATTTATTTGTTTTCATTGATGTTTTGTGTGCTGCCTTGCGGGTCTTCTGGAACTGAAAAGCTGAGTGTTTGTGTGCACATGTACATATATTTAAATATAAAACGTATTGAGGGACAAGCAGATGGCTTTGACAATATAAATAGTATTTATATTTATGGGGCACCATAAGTAGAATTCTTTATACTCCAGCTTTGTATACAACAGACAACATGAAGATAATATAGTGAAATTGGCTTTCAATGAGGGGGCCAAAAATGCACTGCAAAAAAGAGACTAAAGGGAGTGTTACCTTAGAGCAGGCATAGGCAAACTCGCCCCTCCAGATGTTTTGGGACTACAACTCCCATCATCCCTGACCACTGGTCTTCTTAGCTAGGGATGATGGGAGTTGTAGTCCCAAACCATTTGGAGGGGCGAGTTTGCCTATGCCTGCCTTAGAGAGAGAGGAATTTGAATCTAATGCAAGAACTGGAGAGGATATGTATGTCTTACTAAGAAGCATCACTTTTTATTTCCCTTAATGAAACACCATTGCCTCTCTAGTTCCTGCCTCTGAATGTTTGTCATGAAGCTGATGAAAGCTATTGCCATAGATACCAAATCATAACAGAAGAGTAACCATCATTTTCATTCTGTTTTTGGGAATCCATGTGGTTAGGCTTACGATAATACTCAGATTTAGTCACTGGACTGAATTTTCATCTTATGAAATACTACTTTGTCGTGGAAGTTTTCTTTTTAAATGAACATTGGCTTGACAAAACCCCAAAGACATAACAGTATTCAGTCATAGGTCTGGCATGTGACAATTACTCACTAGCTTAATAAGCTAAAGTATTTAACTACTAATCTTCCTTTACATCTCTGCAATTGACTGCAGAATCGTAGTTTTTTCGAGAGTGGGATTTGAACAGTTCTAGCATTGATTAGGCAATACGGTTCATTTTGCATGGATGATGTATGACTGCTCTTGCACTGAAGTTATGCGTACTTAATTGTGCCCATCTTGTATATTTATGCTCTTTTTGAAGTATTACCTTTCAAAGCTGTTGAGAGAGTGCCAGGAAGTAAATGTTCTGATCGAAGTGCTTATGCTGCATTGAAGTCTATTCCCCTGACTTTGCAGGGAACTTACAGTGGTGCCTCGCAAGACGAAAAGAATCCGTTCCGTGATTCTCTTCGTCTAGCGGTTTTTTCGTCTTGTGAAGCAACCCTATTAGCGGCTAAGCGGATTAGCGCTATTAGCGGCTTAGCGGCTTAGCGGCTATTAAAGGCTTAGCGTCTTAGCTGCTAAAAGGCTATTAGCGGCTTAGCAGCTTAGAAAAAGGGGGGGGAGCGGGGAAAAAATCGCAAGACTCGCAAGACTCGCAAGTCCATAGGGAAAATCGCCTTGCGAAGCAACTCAAAAACGGAAAACCCTTTTCGTCTAGCTGGTTTTCCGTCTTGCGAGGCATTCGTCTTGTGGGGCACCACTGTATGTGATCCAATAAGGTTCCCACAAATAGACTGCCCTTATGCATCTCCCTAATTGCATGCATGAGGTGCTGCAGAGAATGAGTGGTATACATACCCCAGACATGACCAGCATGTTGGAGCTGAAAATACTGATTATCATTGCAGCGGGAGGGGTGGATTGAATTTTAAAAGAAATTGTTATAGCTTTGATTTCCACTTCCAGTTTTCTCTCCAGTGCATGCACAATAAGTTTCCCCGCTCTCTTGATGAAAAGGAAAATGCTGAGTTATATATGCTCAAAGTATTTGCCTTTGTACAAAGTAGCTGAGAGCTGCTGCGTTTAAGTCCCTTGAATTTATCGTAGGTACAGTGGTACCTCGGGTTACAGACGCTTCAGGTTACAGACTCCGCTAACCCAGAAATAGTACCTTGGGTTAAGAACTTTGCTTCAGGATGAGAACAGAAATCATGCTCTGGTGGCACCCCAGCAGCAGGAGGCCCCATTAGCTAAAGTGGTGCTTCAGGTTAAGAACAGTTTCAGGTTAAGAACGGACCTCCTGAACGAATTAAGTTCATAGCCCAGAGGTACCACTGTACTCCTCCCGCCCCAGAGCATTGTATTATATGAGGCTCTCTCCTGCAGTCTGAAGTCATACTGCAACCCAAGCGTAGGTTTACCACCATGAAGAGGACTAAGCATTGCTACTCATCGTGGAAATCTAGAAGGTTGCAAGAGAGCAGCTTTGCTTTGGGTAGTCACAGCAAATCCCTGCAGCATTTGGCAGTGCAGATGCTTCCCACATAGTTCCCTCGTGGCTAGTAAGGAAAGGATGGGTCCCTGCAGACGATGATGGACCACAACTCCACCATCCCGAATCATTGGCCATGCTGGCTGGGCCTCATGGGATTTGAAGCCCAACAAAATCACAATGAGAGGAGTGGCCACCTGTAGTAGTTTGCTGTGTTTCCCAGTGCAGCACTATGGTGGGTGTCTCCTCCAGTGAAAGACGGAGAAGGCTCTGAAGCCTGAGATCATTTGAGAAAGGCCTGGGTGTATTATGTTTGTTTCCTTACCATACTCTCTTGTTGCTCTGTATACTGAATGGAGGACTATGTACAGAATGGTGTAAGAGCTATTGTGTCTCACGTTCGTGTTTAAAGTCCTAAATGACCCAGGTCTCAAATACCTGAAAGATTGTCTCCTTCCCTACTGACCCTCGAGGGTGCTAAGATTGGCAGAGGGTGCACTCCTGGTTGCTCCATTGCCCTTCCCACAGAGGTGTGTCTGGCACCTTCATTCTACAGCTTTTGGTGAATGCTGAAGATGCACCTGTTCACCCTGGCTTTTGATACCTGAGAAGTATATTCTCAGGACCCACCTTATTTCTGCAATTTGTTTTAAACTGTTTTTAATAGTGTATAATATTGTGCTTTAATGTTAATGTTGCATTTTAATTAATCTGTCCTGGCACCTTAGGGTAAAGGACGGGTAATACATTGTAGTGGTAATAGTAGTAGTAGCAATTATAATAATAGTATTCAGTTGCTTTATGAAGCATACTCTACATAGCTGACACTACGGCAACATGGCGCTCATATTGCAAACAGATATGCTTGCTCATATTGCTGGTGCAAATACTTAGCATCCGGGTCTAAAATAAATTCCATATACGTTACATGGAAGCAACCGACATGGACAAGCAAATTTACTCTAGGACTGAGGTGGAAATCTCAGCACATCCTGCTTGTGTTGAAAAAACAGCTTGACACAGCTGTGGTTTTAATTTGGTATAAAACCAGGAGTATTCCTGGAAGGCTTTTGTCGTCTTTCTTTTTCCAGAAAAATCCATTCGGGAACAAGAGGGGATATCCTCAGCATGTTGGAAACATTTTCCTATTTAGTTAAGAAAAAGAGTATGATGGAATTAAAAAGATCTAGTGGGAATAAAAAGTAGCTCCTTTTGTGTCTTAAAATACATCTGTTTTTGAAAGGGGGGGAGAGCTTATGTAAAATCAATTTATAGTGGAAGCATAGGTGATGCAGTATTATTCAGGAGCCAGCATTAAAAAAAGGAGGGGGGATGTATTTCCCTTCCAAAATATACTACTTAAACATAACCAAATAATATAAAATCTCTGCATCATAAAAGTCTTATCCGGTCATAATTGATTTATCCTTTTAACTTGCATATGCATCTATGATATCCCAAATTTAACCAAGGCATAATATAAAAGGGTGAGAGGGCCC